AGTTTTGCTCCCCTCTCCTCCTCGCCACTCAGCCCTGCCATTCGCTGACAGGGCTGCTGAACGGTCTGGGCTGGGATCCCCCTGGCAGCGCTGCCCCGTGCAGAGTTACTCCCGAGGAGCTCCGTGGAGTTGCAGTATAGGGGGTCGTCGCTGAGGGCAGCCTGGCTGAAGTCGGGCTCTGGGCGCCACGCCTCGTGGAGGGGACGGGGGAAACATTTCCCCTTCGTCGGCATCACTAAAAGGGTTAAAGCCAGCTAACTGTTTCCTAGAGAGGCCAAGCAAGACGAGAGGGGCTGGAAAGAGGAAAAGGTCTTTTCCTTCCGGGGAGGGGGATACTTTGCTATTTGATCCCAAAGAGACCGGGGAGGGCTTCAGATTTGCACGAGGAAGGTTAGCGTCCCGGGAAGGTTTACTCACAAGTAAGTCATTGGCGGAGGGGACAAGCTGTCAGTCCTGGAAGAGAGAAATGCGGCTAGCGCGTGTTTTTGACGGGGAGCTGGTATTAAACAGTTTTAAAATGTAATAAGATGTGTTTAAAATATCTGTTCCATGTAGACAAAGGTCGGGCCTCCTTGTGGCTTTCTCTGCTGCCCTTGGCACAGCGGCCCCTGCCCTCTTGTTGGTGCGCCTGGGGGCAGAATGAGGCATGGGGGCCGTGGGCTGGAGCGGGTCAAATCCTTCCCTACAGACCGGACCCAAAGAATGGCTCCTGGAGATCAGTTATCTGTTTGAGACCCACAGGGCTGCAATCCTTCGCCGCCGCCCCCCCTGCTCTTTTGCCTTTATGTAAAGCTCTGAGGCTGAATCATGTGTAGTTTGGGGCTTGTCTGTCGTCCATGAGAAGACGATACACAGCTGCCAGTATCACCTTATCTAAAGCTCCTGGCGATGTAGCAGAGATCCTGAATCGCTTGCCTGGCTGCTGTGGTTCAATAGCTAAGAGTGAACAAATTGAAACGAAATCCTGGAGAGATAGGAGTAATGCCCGTTGGGAAGGTGGAGGTCTTGAAGGACATTCTGCTCCCCACTTTCCATGGAGTTCAGCAGACCCTTGCTGACTCACTTAAGAACTTCAGGGTTTTACTGAACCCTACGGGATTCCTGGAGAAGCAAGTTAATGCAGTTGCAGAAAAGGCTTCCTTCCAACTCCGCCTAGCCTTACCTTTCTACAGCTGATCTGGCCACCTGGATCCATGTCATGGTGACATTGAGACTACGCTACTGTAAATGCACTGTACCTGGGTCTCCCCTCAAAACGAATTTGTGAGCTCCAGTTGGTGCAGAATGCCACAGTTTGACCATTATTGACAGCTAGATAGAGCATGCATATTACTCCCATTGTGCAGTCACTCCACTGGCTGCCCATCAGTTATCAGGCTCAGTTTAAAGGACTGGCTATCTCATAGCCCTTCATGGCCTTGGAGACTTATACCTGCAAGACAGTCTCTCCTTCTCAGCTCTGCCATGGCAGCTTCACTCATCTGAGCAGGGACTTCTGCAGGTCCCACCCAGCAGATGGGCAGAATCAACAACTGCCCATCCATGTGCCTTCTCCTTTGAGCCCCCCCCCCTCCCGAGAGGGTAGCTCTGTACAAAATGATTCACAAAGTCACGTGGAGAAATTGTTAGACTGTTGTGTGTACTAACACACATTTGTTGTTGCTGCAGTCAAGTCACAGCCGTATAGGGTCACTCTGTCAACTCCGTTGAGTCCCAGTGAGAAAGGCGGACTTTACTAACATAATTAAAGACATAATACATACATAAGTGTTTCAGTTTCTTAGCCGCCTTGGTGGCCCTTGTGGGGGCAGACAGGTGGGATCTGAATTTTGTAAATTAAAATAAATTAAATCCTTGGCCATGGCAGTCGGTTGTTGGGAGGCCCAGAAAGGACTCCCAGGCATGATCACATGGAATGAATCATACAAGCCGATTGGTTGCCCATATGCAAAGCATTTGGGGCAGTGCTTCATGTCCTGTCTGCCTTTTTCTCCTGGTTTGTTGCCTCCTCCTGTTCATCCAGACAGCCCCCGTGCCTTAACCTGGAGAACCTTCATGCCCATGCCCCTTCCCCTCTCCCAGGGGTTTGCACAGAGCTATTGCCAAACGTGTCCAGCCTATTGAGGAGATAGGTGCAATGGTTAAGTCCTTACCAGTCATTTTGTCCTGGGCTCCAGTTTATGTTGGGAGTAGCCCCTAGGACACACTGAGACACAGTCATAGGAGACCAAGGTCATAACATCGACAACAGATTTTTAAAGACCCAAACACAGATGATTTCCTTTCCTGGAGGACCAAACATGCATACCTCAAAAATCTTGATACATACTATGGCACAAAGACATTAATCCTGATCTGAAAACTAAATGAGGATTCTCCATCTGATTCACTGGGGCACTCTTTAGGTGTCTTTTGACAGGGTCAGTAATGTAGCTCCATTCCCTTTTGGTTTCTTTCTGCCTTTTTGATGTTTTCTTGTCTCTCTTCATAGCCACGTGAGCAAGGGTATGTTTCCACAGTTGGAGGCATCCCTTGGGAAAGGGAAGGAGATGGAAGAGAAGGACCCAGGAGGACCTGGAATAGGCAACAAATCAAGGAAAGGTCCCCATCCCATCCAAGCAGGGAGTGGTGCTGAATTTTGGGAAAGAGCTGAGCCAGAGATCTTGGCTCAGGAGACTTTGACGGCAGATGCACGCAGTCGATGCTTCCGGCAGTTCTGTTACCATGAGGCCAGTGGACCCCGAGAGGTTTGTAGCCAGCTCCACAGGCTTTGCAACCATTGGCTGGAGCCGGAGAGGCGCACCAAGAAGCAGATCCTGGACCTGGTGATCCTGGAGCAGTTCCTGGCCATTCTGCCCCAGGAAATGCAGTGCTGGGTCAGAGGATGCGGGCCAGAGACCAGTTCCCAGGCGGTGGACCTGGCTGAAGGTTTCCTCCTGAGTCAGGCAGAGGAGAAGAGACAGGCAGAGCAGGTGAGGGGGTTTTCTTCGCTCAGTTCAACTCACAACCTTCTGCTAAGGACATCCTTCCAGATATCTCTGCCTCTAGAGAACTCACTAGGCTGGGAAGAAAACCCAGTCCTGATTCTTGCCTCTGTGGTTGAACCAGCTCTGGTGGTCAGTGTAGGGGGTGAGGAGTCTGAGAGTGGGACAGGATCCATCTCCTCGGCCTATTACATTCCTTCTCTTACCATCTCCTTTTCTGCTCTTTCAGATGTGGGGACCATCTGGGAAGATGGAAGTTAAGTTCTCTGAGGAGGAAAGATCTCCTTCAGAGGAAGGGCAGAGGGCTCAGGCCCAGGAGCGTGGCCAAGATGGCCTCTCACGTGGTAAGGCTGTTTTGTGGCCTGATGGGATTGGGGCACACAGTGAAGTTGTTGGGTAGAAGGTTTAGGACAAGAGAAAAAGGAAACACTTCTGCACACAATACAGAGTCAAGTTCTGTGATTCGATACCATGGCATGTAGTGATGGCCACTCCCTTGAAAGGTGATTAGAAAGATTCATAGAGGGCAATTCCATTCTTATTCACATTTCTGTGTCACCTTCCTTCCATTAGTGGGACTAAAAGCAGCTCAAAAGAGGAAAGGTAGACCAATCTGGGCTCAGTTATGAATGGATGAATGGAACCTACATGTTCTGGGGCAGCATTCCTCTGAAAACCTATTGCTAGTGGCCAACATTTGTTTTCTGTGCCCCTGATTAAAGTCTCTACATGAGCATTTGATGGGCCAAAGTCAGAAAGAAGACAGTGGACTAAGGACTGAGAAGTTTGGGGGTGGCATGTGGACTGGATGTGATGTCAGAACATCAGCAGACATTCTGGAAACCCATCAGTATTACCCTAGAGTTTTCATATACGCTGAAGTCACATCTTGGTTATCAGAGTACTTGGCGCTTCTCTTTTGCCTCTCCCACAATTTACTAAAAATCATTGTAAATTTTGTTGCGTTTGCCTATGGCAAGGTTTCACAGCTTAGTCTAGGCTAAGAATCTTTCTTCCTTCTTTATCTCCATCACAGGCAGTGGACCGATGGTGTTCAGCCGTCGTCTTGGCAGAAGTGTGGAAGCAGCTGCTGTAACTCCAATCCAGGTAGAGGAGATGAGCGGGGGACAGCCTGGTCCCGCCCCTTTCACAGACAGGCTTTTGCTCCTGTAGTTGCTGCTAAGGTGTTTGAGAGAAAGAGGCTCTGAATGCCACTCCTTTTGCCCATGCCAAGCTCTGCCTCTTGTGCCTTCCTCGACTGCCCCCTTTCAGCATGCATTCTCTGCGTGGTGTGAACTCTGAGGAGGGAATCTGCTTTTTCTTTCAGCGTCCCTTTTCCTTTGAGGAGGTGGCCGTGTATTTCACCGAGGCAGAGTGGGCACTCTTGGATCCGGGCCAAAGAGCTCTCCACAGGGAAGTCATGCTGGAGAACTATGGGAGTGTGGCCTTTCTGGGTAAGGATCTTTCATAGGTGTGAATTGCTGACATTGGGATGAGGCGTGAATCAAAATATTGAACACGAATACATTGTTTTCAGGCTTGCCCCACTACTTGTCCCCTTTGGGAGGTCTCGAGGAGTTGGGGACGGGTGTCAGTGAAAATTATGTTCAGCATGGTCTGGGAGAGCGACCCAAGCCACCTGGCTGGCCTAGGGGCAACTGAGGCCAGTGTTGTGGCCGTCACCTGAACCAGAGAACCTGGAGCAAAGAAGGGTCTGAGAGGCCCTCAGAAAGGGGTCTGTTACCCGTAGCACTCATGCGCATCCACCCTTGCACCTAGCAAAATTGCATCTTTCTGCTAGCAAAGTGAAAACACATGTGTTGTGGGATATTAATCCCTGAGATCATAACCCTACGTCTACCTGGGTTGAGATACCCTCCATTTCTTTTGAGTACTGGGGTCTGTATCAGCTTCTTAAAAAGGAAAATAAATTTATTAAGTTAACAGAAAGAGAACCAAGTTAGGTCAAATGAATAAAAATAGAGGCTCTACAGAAAGGAAATAAGTGCACCTGTGAAGTACAAACACAATTCATAATTTTTTTATTTTGATTTCCCCCCCAGTTAATATAACAACAAAACAAAACAGAACAAATATATGAACAACAGGCTAATGCATGAACATACAGTTTTACAATATAAAAAGGGGCAAAAGTTGTAAAATGAACATATAGAAGCATGATGTAATTCGAAGGCCTTTAACAGAGATATAACAGTTTCAGCTATCTTTAGTCTGTATGTTGTGGATTATAAAAGAGCAAAGAGTCAAGAACATAGTATACCAGTTATGGTCATAATAAAGCTATGAAGCGATTAATATGTGGGTTAGAAGATCCAGACGAGCACAAACACAGTTTAAGCCCTTTCCCTCATAAACGTCCTGCTACGAAGGGAGGAAATAAAATATATACAAGCCTGCTTCCTGAAGACAGCTGGGCAGCTGTGGAGAAGCACAGCAGAATAGGATGGAAAAGTAGAGAAGCCAGCCATACAGCTGGGGAAACAGGGTGGGGTCCAAAACCTGCTACAAATGGGATGGGCTGAGGGATAACTTTTTATACATTTCTGCTAAGATTAATGAGGAGAAAAGGTATTGGCACTGGGATGTGGGAGTGCTTTGGACCATAGTGGGGTGTTGTTCTTCGGCAGTTTCCTCTACACATTGGGGGCCTAGTCCTTCCACTGAGCATGAAACTAAGCCGCCTCCCTCCCCCATGGACCACCTGGCAGCCTCCAGCTGTAGGCAGCTGTCACCTCATGGGGCGGGCGGTGCCAGCAGTCTCCAGTTATACTGGTTACTGGGTGGCCTGGGGCCTCTGAAACACACAGCCTTGTGTGCACGGTGCTCGCTCCCCCATCTGATGACCTGGCATCCTATAGCCTGGGATGGCTATCACTGCATGGGGGTGACATGGCTTGCCAGCAATCTTTGCTTTGAACCCCCAGCAACGCCCCATCATGGATCACCTGACAGCCTTAGCTGAAAGCAGCCGCTGCCACACAGGCATCTCCAGCTTATTGGGCCCCTCCTCTGGGCAGTGCAGGATTGTCTGCCCAGCACTGCAGCACTGGCTCTCCAGTCTTCCCATGGAAGTATTCCTCCACCTCTCTCCCAGCCCATGGGAGAGTGAGAACACACCAACTTGAAGCTTACTAGCTTCGACAGGAAGCAAAGAGTAGGAATCAATGCAGGCCCATAGCCACAGAGGGGCATATAAGGTCTCCCAAATGTGCCCTGCCCCTTCAGGCACGCATGGCTGGGGAGGGGTCAGGAGGAGGCCTTCTTGCCTTCTTCGGGATGCGGCGTGACCCGGCGAGCGAACTGAACTCAGAAGGCATTTAAAGAGACCAGTCTCTTTAAATGCCTTTTCCAAGCCAGGGAAGGTGGGTGAACTCGCACAGCTTCCAGGTTCCTCAGGCACAGCTTGGCTTTGCAAAGGCAAATTAAGTGTTAGGAACCTGGAAGTGGCATGAGTAGGGCAGAGGAGAAGAAGAAGAAGAAGAAGAAGAAGAAGAAGAAGAAGAAGAAGAAGAAGAAGAAGAAGAAGAAGGCCCATAGCCACAGAGGGGCATATAAGGTCTCCCAAATGTGCCCTGCCCCTTCAGGCACGCATGGCTGGGGGATGTCCTTTCCCAAATGTTCCCTGCCCCTTCAGGCACGCATGGCTGGGGAGGGGTCAGAAGGAGGCCTTCTTGCCTTCTTCGGGATGCCTTTTCTAAGCCACGGAAGGTGGGTGAACTCACACAGCTTCCAGGCTCCTCAGGCGCAGCTTGGCTTTGCAAAGGGAAGTTAAGTGTTAGGAAGCTGGAAGTGGCGTGAGTAGGGCAGAGAAGAAGGAGAAGAAATCCCCACGCTTGGTGACTATTACTTCCTCACAGCCGCCTGCTCACCTCACATGCCATTACAGCAACAAAGAGCATGCTGAGCAGTGGGTGGAGCGGCACCCAGGCTGGAGGCTCTACAAACCTGAAAGACGGGACCATGGCTAGGAAGGGTGATGCCTCCCCTTACAGTAAGCCTGGGATGAGGCGAGGGGCTGGATGGCAGCAGAGGGAAAGCTGAGCGAGAGAGCGAATGCCACGCTTTAGCCCAGGTTGGCCGCCTTCTCAATTGGCCTGTTTTGGCGGGTGTATCCAGCTGTTGGAGTTTGTTGCCTTGGGAAAGGAAAGCAAGCTAGGGCATCCCCCTCTACTTCCACAGCTGGCAGCACCACCACCAAGCACAGCTTGGGCTTCGCTACTGGGTGCCTTCACCACCCTCCATGATCCCTCTTTACCCTACCCCCTTCTTCATTATATCCTATGGCGACAGTCCCCATAGGGTATAATGGAGCCGATCCCCCTGACACTCAGCCCCCTGGCTGCGATCCGGGAGCCGGAGCTGTGGCAGCATGGCTCCCCTTCCTGGAGGCTGGGAGCACAGGCAGTCGCCGCAGAGGTTGCAGGGCTGGGCGCAGCTTCCGATGATGGTGGTTTGGTGGGAGGGGAGACTCAAGGGAGTGTGGAGCAGAGCGCACCTCGCTCTCTTCACACACACACACACACACACACACACACGGACCGTAATCCCCCCTCTTCGGGGGGGGGGCATTTTTATCAGGGGAGGCTATACCTGTAGTCAGGAGATAGTAATAATTCCAGGAGATCTCCAGGCTCCACCTGGAAATTGGCAAGCCTAGCTCTAATTGTAGTACTGCCGCCGCCTTGTTGCCCCCCTAACAAAAATTTTCTGTTTACCCGCCTGCCTGGAAATAAGCCTTCTTCAGTACATTGGGGCTTACTTCTGAGTAGACCTTCTTAGGCTCCCTTCCATAAAGTGTCCCAAGATTTCCGAATGGCCGAATGTAAACAGCACCACCACTACCCCAATCTGTGGGTTTCTTTCTGTCTTCTTCCCACCCTGTTCATAGAGACCGTTTTCCCACTGGCAAAAGGAAATGCTGGAAGCATTTTGATAATCTGAGGAGGAGACGACTCCAGTGGGGGGCTGAAGGCGTAGAAGAGAAATCCGCGGGTTTGTTCGTGGGGCAGGGGGAGCCTTGGCCCGATCAAGCCGTTTTAAAAGCGCACAGGGAGGGAGGGAGAGAGGCTCTTTTGAGGCTCTTGGCATTCAGCACGTTCTTGTCCTTGACAAATGGAATGCAGGAGAACAGTCACTTGGAAAACCATAAGCGGCCTTCTGGGAAATGATTCTGTTGATTTGACAGGACCCCTCCTGGAGGAGGCAGGGCGCTTCCGAGGAGCTCCAAGGACTCCACCAACAGCACATCCCTCACCAGAGTCGCATCCTTCCGTTGAAGAGAAAGGGCCAGGAAGGATGCAGTTCTGCTTAGACTTGCCCTCGAAGCCGCCGGTCAGTGAGCAGACACGCAGCCAGGCCCTGCCATGTTTACTCAGAGGTAAAGGCCACTGCCATCCATGGGATCTGGAAGCAAGCCTGCTGAGGATTGCCCCTTGCACCCACTTGGGCTAGAGGAGACTGAGCCCCGGACCCCCAGCTGAAGGAGTCTGGCTTCTGGGCAGGCCCTTGCTTTTCCCTCGTGCACCTGACCCTTGAGCCCTTAACCGGGGTGCAGATCTGAGGCAGGCCTCTGGAGGAAGGCGAAAGCCCTGGGTGATGTGGATTGCTGAGCAACAGCTGGAGGGCAGGGAGAAGCTCCAGGGCTTGCCTGTCTCTTCCTTGCCCCCTCCCCGGGGGGCAGTCCCTGCCTTCGGGGGAGCATAGTTGGTCCTCAGCCAGAGTATATCAAGGGCCAGCGGTCTCCCCACACCTTTACTTGCCAGGAAGCTCAAAGAGCAGCAACTGTCACCATGGACAGCCTGGGGGTCCGCGAAAGCCATTCGGCGGGGCCTCCCGCACAGAGCTTCCGCCGAATAGCTCCCCTGTTGCAGGTAAGTTCTTTCTCTGTCCTGCAGTGCCCAGTCTTTGGCCCAGTTGCTGCAGGGTGCAGACACTCCCAGACCTGTTCTCCAGCTGTGGGGTGTCTGGATCTCATGGCAGAGGCCCAGAGAGAGGACAGGCTGGTAGAGCATCTTTCCAGGGTGCAGAGCCCAGGCCCAGGCATGAACAGGGCTCGGCAAGCTGGACAGGCTGGTAGGGCATCTTTCCAGGGTGCAGAGCCCAGGCATGAACAGGGCTCGGCAAGCTGGCAGTGCAGTGGGTGCTACCTTCTGCCGGCAGCCTGCTCCACCCCCCCAGGGGTTGCTCCCAAGGAAACAGAGGAGGCCCCTGACGCCCCCCCCCCACTGCTGTTTCCCCCCTTCGAGTAAAGGCTCAGACCCTTCCCTTTCCAGCTGGCTATTCCGTGCTTTTTCTTCCAGATGCACACCTCAGCGACACCTGCCCTTTGCCCAGGGACTCTCGGGCCTCCAATCGGCCTCTCTTGGGCCAAGCTGCGGTGCTGCCGCCACCCCTGCTGGTCGTGTCTTCAACGGGCCGCCGAAAGAGGACCCATTTTGCTGCTTCTCAGCTGGCGCGGCTGGAGGAGGTCTTCCGGGAGAACCAATACCCCGACGTCTCAGCGCGGGAGAAGCTGGCGCATCAGACCGGCTTGTCCGAGGCCAGGATCCAGGTGAGTGAGGGGGGTAGGGAGCCCAGAGGCCTTGGGCCTTCCTGGAAGCTCAGTTGAGGGGTGTTGACTGGGAAGCAAGCCCCCTGGACTTCCGAGCAAAGCTGCTTAGGACTGCTTGCGAAAATGGCAGCACTCCCCAAGAATTGGCCCTGGCTGGCGGGGAAGCGGGCCTTGACCTGGCTAAGAGGCCCCGGGAGCTGGTTGCTGTCCGGGCAGGTGCCACGGGGCTGCCCTTTGCTCTCGGCCTTGCACAAAGGCAAGACAGGAGAAGCACTCTTAGGTCCTCCTTGGTGCTACAAGCCATACAAGCCGCCCATCCCTGAGCCACTCCAGTGGTCAGGCGGGCATCCGGGAGGAGAGGGGCGTGGCACAGGTTGGGCGTGTTCCTGGCTGGGGGCTGCAGGAGTCAAGCTGAGCCAGTGCCATCGTCGGGCAGGCCTCCTCCTCCTCTGCTCTGGTGGGGACTTTCACTCACCACCACCAGGCTGCCTTTTGGGGCTGCGTCCTGAGACGGGGGCATCTTCCTCAACTGGGAGACATGGGCTCTGGTAGCCCTGCGGACTCTGCTGAAGCCCATTACCCATGAAAGCTAAAATGCCAACTTGTGGTTCCAGGCTGCAGGGAGAGATGTGGAACGGGTGGGCGTTCCATGTGCTTTTTTGGTCTGTCCAGCCCAGATTGGGGGCTGGGACAGTTCTTATAGGATTCTTCTTGGTTTCTGATCTGCTTGACTTCTGGGGCGGGGGGGCGGCGGCGGCTATAAAAGTTTAAGGGCAAATTCCAGGTGGCTAAGTCCCACCTGGTTCAATGGAACATAGTGGGACTCAGTTCCCCCTTCCTGGCCTTGTACAAGGTTGTTTTGCTTTTGTTTTTAAACCCTTTAGACAAGTACTAAGGGATCTGGCTGAAAGCCCCCCTCCCCATTTTAGCTCTGCTTTGGCACCTCTGCTCAGCCTTGAGATTGCTCTGTTGACCCCTTTTCCCCATTGCCTTTTCGGGGGGGGGGGCAATCTGCAGCAGAGATGTCTTTTTTGTCTTACCAGAGATGAGCTGCTGCTCCACCTCTAAGAGAGCGTGTCCTTGGTGGGCAGAACTTGGCCTGTTGAACCTCTAGCTGAAAGGCCGCTGTTAAGCTGCAATCTGTGTCTTGCTCGCCTGGCGCAGTGGGGCACTCCCAGGTTCTTTCCAAAGGTCTCTTTGAGCTGCTGCCTGGGGTGGATGGGGAGAAGGGAAGGCCTCGGAAGAACCTCTTGGCTCACCCTGTGTCCTTTTCCTCTTAGGTATGGTTCCAGAATCGCCGGGCCAAGAGTCGTCGTCTGGCGATCCCACCCAAACAGGCAGGGGCCCACGGGCCTTCCCACGTGTCCAGTGGTACTGCCAGCTGTGCCGCAGTAGAGCCTGCAGCAGACAGGCGGGGTCCTCTTTCCATGCAGCAGCAGCAGCAGTGGCACTTTCCTCCGCCTTTGGTGCCAGCCAGCACTTCTGTCACCGCTCAGCCTGCCTGCCACACACCCCTAGCCGGGAGAGACGAGGGTTCCCACCGGCTCAGTTATATGCTTTCAGGATGGGGGCCCCCCAAAGAGGACAGCGGTCTGATCCCACACCGGACTGTTCAGAAGACTACCTGGATGAATGATTAGCACTTCAATGACTGGGCAGTAACAAAATAAAGTCATTTCTGTTTTGCTGGGGTTGCTAGCTCCAGGAAATTCCTGAAGATTTTGAGATGGAATCTGAGGAGGGCAGGGTTTGTGGAGGGGAGAGCCCTCAGCTGTATATGATGTCATAGTGTCGAGAGTTTATTAATAATATTGCAGAGTAAAATAATAACGCAGCCCACAACATGTGACTTAAGTAAAAGAAAGTTTACTAAAGAAAACATAGGAAGGGTACATAAGTGAAAAAGAAAACAATAAAGAATCCTATCAGACTATTCTTCTATTAGACTTCTGTTAGAGCCGGAAAAACGTGAAACCCAGCCCATTGGTTCAAAGCTCAACTAACTTAAGTATTAGCATGCATCAACACAAACAGGTTAACTGTTTCATGAAAGAAGGAAGTGAACTTCCACATATCCCAACACAGCCCTTCTGAAGTTCATGCACTGAAGTCATAAAGGTTCAGTTTCTTGCGAAGGTATTCAAACCTCCCTCTGGTAAGTGGTTTGGTTAATATGTCAGCCACCATCTCTTCAGTTGGATGATATTCAGCTTCAGTCGGTCCCTGTCGTTGCATCTGTCTTACAGAATAAAACATGGCAATGATGTTCTTGCACTTGTCTTTAACACTTTCACCTTTAAATAGGGCAATGCAGGACGGGTTGTCCTCCAACAAAGTTATTGGTTTAGGTTCTTCTATCCCAAAGTCGTTCAGTAAACAGATGATCCATTCAAGTTAATTGCAGGCACCTGTAGCTGATAGGGATTCAGTCTCGTCTGCAGTTTCAGCGACTCGTATTTGCTTCTGTCTAGTAGTCCAACTAATCAAGCTGTCTCCATAAAAGAATAGATAATCGCTGCTTGACTTGTAATCAGTTTTGTCTTCAGCCTAATCAACACCCATGTATCCAACCAGTCATGGGTTCTCACAAGCTGAGATCTTTAGTTCATAGTCAGCTCTTTTTATGAGGTATCTAGCCAATCTCCTTACAGCATAACAGTCATAGTGGTTTGGTGAACCAGTCTTTCTGGATTTGAACAACTGCAGTGATATCTGGTCTAGACATTGTGCTCAGGTAAAGAAGCGTATCCATTGCTTCTCTGTACTCCTGGTTGCTCTTAAGCAATATTCCATCTTCATGTTTGAGGTATGCTGGTTCGAGTAGAATTCTAATGCCTTGAGCATCCTTTAGAAAAAGAAGAAGAGTTTGGATTTATACCCCGCACTTCACTACCCAAATGTGTCTCAGAGCGGCTTACAAACTCCTTTCCCTTCCCCTCCCCACAACAGACACCCTGTGAGGTAGGTGGGGCTGAGAGAGCTCTTGACAGAAACTGTTCTTTTTCAAGAACAGCTCTTATCAGAACTACAGGTTGCCCAAGGTCATCCAGCCAGGTGCAAGTGGAGGAGTGGGGAATCAAACCTGGTTCTCCCAGATTAGTGTCCGCACACACAACCACTACACCAAACTGGCTCTCAACAAAGTCCAGTATCTCAACAAAGTCCATAATCTTGTGTTTTTTGTTAGGAGAAAACTCCCAGTCTCAGTTCTTATAATTTATATGCCAAGGTGGTTGAGTTCTTTCAGTTGCTTGAGTTTAGTTTCTTTATTCAGACTATTGGCAATCTCTTGAATATGTTCTTTGGTACAATAAAAGCCCATCCACTGATGTTATTGTATATTGGTAACAGTTCATCTTTAAGTTTGCTAAACAGATAGTGGTCAGCTTTTCCTGGCTGAAAGCCTTCTTTCTGCAACACTACAGTTAATTTATCAATCCATGTTTTGGCATCTTGCTGTTCAGGTAAATTTTTCATTAAGAGGAGCTGTCCCAACCTCTTGGTGTTGAAAATGTGCTGTCCCAACTTCCAGGTGCTGAATTTGCATTCCTCTGGAGGCTGCAATGCTCAGCAATGTTCTAAAGGTTGCATACTTTAAAAAAAATTATTGATTGATTTTTATATGACAATTCACAACAATCAAAAATACGTTCAATAAAAACTTTAAGGTGCAAAAACACGTTGCACCATCATTCAAATCACAGTCCTCCATTACACAGCACATCCAATACACAACAAAAACATAAACATTAAATTAACAACAAAATATCTACAACTAATACAACAAATACTACATTAGGGGTTATTAAATTAACCAATTTACTTTCAGGAGATTAAGGTAGCGATAATTTGTAGACTGTGTATTCCCTTCAAGAATCTCTTCCAATTTAATTAGAATTGGATACCATCTTTCCAATTAATAGGAAGGTCCCAATGAAGGATCTTCATCTGCTAGAGAGTCCGAGATTTTATCCAAAATCAAATGGTCCCAAATTCTAAAGTACCAATTTTTAATTAATGGTTTATCCATTTCCTTTCAGCATGACACTATTCTAGTCTTGGCTGCCGTAAAGAGTATCATTATCAGATCTTTCCTAATCTGTGGAATATTAACTTCTTGCCAGTAATTCAGTAATATAATCTCCGGTTTCAACAGAATTTTATAACCAGTTAAGTTTTTAACTTGAAGTACTATATCCTGCCAAAACTGCTTGATCACTGTACACTTCCACCAACAATTATAAAAAGTTCCCACAGAACCACTGTTTCCAACACAGTGGAGATATTGACTTGTTCATACAATTCAGTTTCCTAAGCGTCATGTGCCAACGTGTTAACATTTTAATGTTCTGTTCTTGTATATTAAGAGATTTGGTTTTGTACACATAAGAAGACCAAACCGATTCCCATTGAGTTCTAGTCCATTGAAGATTACAATCCACTTGCCAAGGTATCGTATATGATGGTAAATCTAGCATATCATGTTCCAATAATATTTTATATACAGTTGATATTATTCCTTTCCTCACTCCGTTATCAGATAACAAGAGTTTCTCAAACGCCATCAAGGGTTTGTTCAGTTGTTCAGATATCAAAGGTGATACTATAAAGTGACGTAGTTGTAAATACTCAAACCAAGGTACATTTGACTTCACTAATATGTCTAATTTCTGTTTCTCTAACATTTGGCCCTTATGGATTACTAAAGGTTGCATACTTGACAGCAGTCATAGATTACTCAATAACCTTCTCCCAACTTGAAGTTTTACAATCAGGTTGCACATCTACATTGTTAGAACTCTGTGGCCTCCTCACAGCAGTCTCCATTGCCTCTGGCCCAGCTACTTGACCTGTTTGTGTATAGGTAGTCTCTGCAGGCAGCCAAACAGCTACATCACTAAGGGAGACTCCAGCCTCAGCTTCTTGGCTTGTTGGGATTGGTGATACGATTTGTTTAGAACCTAGGAGCACGCTAGATCCATCAACACGCACTACATTGCATTTGCCTTGTCCTGTATGAAATACTGATTCAGTCTCGTGTCTTAGATAAAAGAGTTCATCTTTTCAGCCACAATTTTAATATCAGATTCTGGGTGAAAGATATAGCACTTGCCCCTTCTGATCACAGACTCATTTCCTGCTTTTACAAGCCTTGAAACAGACAGAAGGTTTTGTTCAGATTCTGGCACAAAAGCACAATCATTCAGGAAGATTTCAATGGATTCCCTAGTAACATCCAGGACTTTTAAGTTTTGCAGTCCCAACTTCACAAACTTCTAATGGTGTCCCATCTGCTTGCAGCAAACACTTGCTTTTTCCTTTATCCACCTCAACAAAATAAGCTTCACTATTGGAGACAAGCACAAATTTCCAAAATCTAACAATCACTAGTTTCTCATATTTACTTTTTCATCATTCACAACAAATGCAAACTGCTTGATAGCTTTTGTTTAGCATCATCCTTCTGGCTGCCTTTAGTTTCATTGTTAGGAGGAGCATGTCTCTCCTCCCCATGCAGCTCAACCCCATTTTTCTGTCTACAGAATCTTGTAATGTGGCTAGCCTTCTTACAAGTGACAAATAACGTTTCTCTTCTCAGCTCGCCTCACATGCAACATAAGACATTTTTCTGACTGCATCATCTACTGATCTGTGCAGTCCTGAGTCCCGTAAGTAAGACAACATAAACTGCAAGTCCACTTTCTCTTTAGCTTCAAGGACTGCCTTCTGTTAGCCAAATTGCTTTATTTACAGCAATTGGCAATTTATAAATGGGTTCTTGCCAGTTTATACCAAGGTCCTGTTCCCACCAAGGGTTACCAGAGAAGGAGTCGAGGCTGGTGTTGTAAAATAAATGTCTTTTACTTAAAGAATATAAATCTCATACAAACAATACTGATGCACTCACACAGTCAATCAACTTCCTCAGAAAGACAGTTGCATTAGTAGGTAGGGTGATGGTTGGTGATACTTATCTGTCTTCACAGCTTTGGTTGTTCCAATGAAGAATGGATGGGAAGAAATAGAAATCTAGGGAGAATTAACACACGACTAGAACCAGCCAGAACGTGTGGGTCTCTTGACTGCAGATCAAGAGATCAAAGTAGAGGCAAGGTTTTGGGGATAGCAAGCTGGACAAAGGGGGAGTGTAAAGCAGACAGGGGTTGTTGCGGGGAATGCTAGCTAGGAAGGGCCAGGTGAATGGTCCTTTCCTTTTATAGGTGGTCCATTGGGTGGGTGGTACCTGTTCCAACCTGTGGACCCACCTTCCTGTTAGTCCGTCCCAAACCTAATCCTATTGGTTGCCTATAGGAGTGGGAGGTTGCCTATAAGGAGTGGTCAATATTGAAATCTAATACCTTACTCAAGGAAGACATCTGGGCAGGTGTGAAACCTTGGCGTCAGGATGCTTCATTGAAGTGTTGATCAAGCTGGCCATCCTCTTTGTGAACCAAATGTCCATTTGGCAGGAAATACCAATGCAGGAACAAAGCATGGATGTGTTGTACGTGATCACAACTAGATCTGCAATGGGGGCTGTCTCTTCTCAAAGCTGTTGTTTCTTACTGCTCACAATAATGGAGGTGTGTGCTCCTTCACCAGGCTGTTAACTGTGTAACTGAAACATTCCCAAATGGGGTGGGGGGTGGGGCTTATCAATTTGACAGTATTAAATTCAGATTCCGATAATTCCAAGACAGCAGATTCCAATTCTGAGGCTATCCTCATAATTTTATCCAAATGCTTTTCAATAACATCTCACTCACTTAGTTGGATTGTATATAATTTTTGCTTTAAGAACAAGATATTTCTACTTGAACGATGCTCATATTTAGTACCGAGAGCATCCAATAGAGCCTTTGCTGTTTTCTGTTCAGTTACTACTGAGCTTTCTTTGTCCTCTGTAAAGAAAAAAGGTAAAGGTTCCCTTGCTCGAAAGCCAGTCAAGTCCGACTCTAGGGTTGCGGTGCTCATCTCCATTTCAAAGCCGAAGAGCCAGCGCTGTCCGAAGATGTTTCCGTGGTCATGTGGTCGGCATGACTAAGCACGGAACGCTGTTACCTTCCCACCGAAGTGGTACCTATTTATCTACTTGCAATTTCTTCAGCATAGCTCTTGCTTCCAGCTTTAAGACTGCATCTTTCTCTGACTGATTGCATCTAAAGAGTCTTGAACTCTTAGTGCAGTTTCTAGCCTTGTGTGCCCCATTTGGAAATTATTTTGAGTTAACGTAGGGATTTCAAAGAGGGAGG